GCCAACAATAAACTGGTACAAGACGGAGGAAACAGAATCAATAGACAATGAAACACAACTAGCAACATTTGGTAATTTAATGTCATGTAGAAATCTTCAGGTTTATATAATTCCTACTTTACCTGTTTGTATGCCATGTTGCTTCAATTTTTTGAGGGTATTTTGTCCAAAAATGACTTCAAAAGAATTTTTAATGCATAAGTTTGAACTGATTCAAATAGTATCTTCTCCTATAGGATTCTCCTACAGGATTGAGTCAACTGGTCTAAGACTTTTAAGTACCCAGAGGGATGACTCTGGCTATTATCGCTGTCTTGCTGATAATCAAGTTGGTACTGACAGTCAATCAGTGAGAGTAAGGGTAGAAGGTAGGGGAGTTATCATAATTACACTCACATATTATAATATAATTACAAAATCTCTATTCAGGTCCTCCAATGGCAGTAAGTATATCCCCAACTCTCTTCATTGCTGGAAGCACTGCTTATATCAATTGTCAGATATTCTATGACTTCCCTCAGTCAATCTTTCAGTGGTATGACGTTGCTACCAATGCTCTTCTCCTCCCACCACGCTTCACTACACTGTCCAATGGGACCCTCATTGTTTCTCCTATTGAGGGAAGCGACCACAAGGAGTACCTGTGTAGTGCTAGTAATCAATACGGAACCTCTTCAGTCTCTCAGTTCATCACTGTGCATGTTCATCCTCAGCCTGGCTTTTCAGAAAGCAATGGAGTCTTTGGTATCTTGGATGACAGTTTTTCCTTCTCTTGTACTGCCACTGGTAGACCCAGTCCAACACTAGCACTCTACACTCCTGATGGAGGAGAAGCAGACTCAACAATGGTAAGTAGAAATCAAACATTAAAATGATTCTATTTTTACTTATGTATCTTTAGTTTGATCCTAGTACGGGTACATTCACTACGACCAGTTTCCAGGTGATTCACTCTGGTTCATACAACTGTGAAGCTACTAATATAGTTGGAGCGACGAACGCTACCCTTGAGGTGGGGATAAGGGGAGCTCCCCCTCGTCTCCCTGCAGTCAATCCTCTAGGATCAAGAGAAATGAGAGTAGCATGGAACGGT